GAAGAGTGTCATCCTTCTTCTTCACAAAAATAGCTGGACAACCCTATGGTAAAGAACTTGGACGGATGAATCCCTTCTTTAATAATTCTTCTAACTGTTTCTTCATCTCAGCCAGTTCTTTTGGAGCCATGCGGTAAGGACACCGTGAAATAGGAGCAGTTTTAGGTTCTAACTCAATGAAAAACTCCACATCCCAGTCCGTTAGTAATCCAGGTAGATCCTCAGGAAAGACATCTAGAAACTCACAGACCATAGGAATAGAAGCAAGGTCAGGAGAAGCCTTTAGCATGAGCAACAACTGGTAGGGTGAAAACTAAAGACATAAGGAGAGATATTCTATTCTCAGAAGAAGGAAGTTTCAACTCAACAATTCTTTGCCTAAGGTTCAAGACTACTCATAGTTTTTCAACCAGTTTATTCCTAGAATTATATCTATGCCTTGACCAGGCAGCACCATAAACTGGAGACGATAAGAGTGAGTTGCTAACACTAGTCTCACTATGTCCGTGCGAGTTTTAACGCACAATTACGCACCCGAGGTTCTGATTCTATAGACAATAAGAATAGCCATAGTAGATATATTGTACCTTTGTGCAAACCCCATACTCATGAATGAATATGATACATCAGAATCAAATAATATATATGCTGGGTGGGAATCAATGGTGAATATACCAACCATCACAGGCTCTCCCTACGAGATCTCCTCAACCTTAGTGAAGTTAACCTGTCTCGAGTGGCTCACGGGCATCTTCTTCCTGATGATAGTCCTCTTGACCAAATGGGAGTTGGCTAAAGACTGAGAAGATTGAGGAGGCTGATTCTGAGGGCACTCTCAGACGTAGTGACCTTCCTTACCACACTTGAAACAAGCACCCGACTTGTTCCCTTGTCCCTGATGAGGCAAAACCTATTGTCCCTGAGGCTGCTGCACCTACCGAGTAGGTGCATGGTACTGAATGGGAGGTGCTTGGTGAGTCTGCTGAGTCTAGCGAGACGACTGTCCACCCGAAGAGTGATAGGACACCCTCCTTACAACCTATACCTTTTAAGACTGTGAGTGACTAGAAGACCCAGTGATCACACTCTTACGCTTCCACTCAGCCTGAGAGTCACGCTGAAGTCCCTCCATAGCAATGGCAGCATTCATCAAAGCACAAAAGATCTGATAACCCCATGTATACAGCTTCTCTTGCAAGATGCAAGAGAGACCGCGATTGAGACGGTCCATCTTCTTCTCATCAGTATCCACATGAGTCCCAGCATACTATGCAAGATGGTTGAACTTGTTCACATACTCCATCACAGTCATGTTTCCTTGCTTCAGCTTCAGAAACTCGGACAACTTCCTGTTCAGCAAACCAGCAGGAATATAGTACCGACGGAAAGCAGTGGTAAACTCTTGGCAAGTCACATGGTGGTCCACATGCTGTATGGTGTTGAAAGTGTCCCATCAAGCACTAGTAGATCCCAAAAACTGTTGTGCGACAAAGCGCACCTTCTGCTTGTCAGTCATATTGAGCAGCTGAAACTTTTGCTCTAGAATACGAAGCCAATGCTCCGCATCTCGAGGCTCAGCAGTCGGCGTGAATGTGGGAGGGTGTGTCCCCAAGAAATCTAGATAGGAACAGGGTCTCTCGGGACCGCGGGCACCACCCCTGTTCCCGCCATTGCCACCAGGGCCTCCACGGGCGAAGCCACCAATAGCTTGTGCCAGCATCTCCAGGGCACGGGCTGACTCGCGACGAGCAACCAACATCTCAGCCATCATCTCGGTATAGGTCATCGGATGTAGTGGTGGTGGCGGAGGAGGAGGACCAAGGAGTGGGGCCTCGTGGCTCTCCCCGTTGGCATTGCCATGATCATCGCCACGACCATTTTTGCCCTGGTCTTTACCAAGACCACGGCCCATTCCAGCACTGGTGCTCCCGCGACCAGACCTCAGGTTCATGTGTAAACAGATAGGAACCCACCGTTAGGGACCAGGCCTCCATTCTTAGAAACAAACGGCTAGAGAGATGATAAGGGCCAATAAATGGTTACAAGCCAGAACTTTTCCTTAAGAGTTAAGGCATTTCTCTTTATTTATTATCCTACCAATTTACTACTACTAATTATACGTGCGGAGGAGTTTAGTTTAAGCAAGATTCTCTTTTCATGATGCATGGATCGACCTATTCGTTCGCTCAAGCCGGAATATAGCGGCATTCGTATATAATTTTTGGCACAGTGCACACTCACTTCCCGTACGCTAAACGATTATTACGTAGCGTTAGTGAGTGTACCTGTAGAAGATTGATTAGATAAAATCAGTACCACTATCCTAGATAGACCATATTGCTAGGGCTTATACTTATTTACGTAAATTTATCGCAATCCTATTTTTCACAAATCTTTTGTTGGTAAAATTTTAGGTTTTTGAAAAGAGTTTTTAAACTCGTAGACTCATTATTGGCTCTGATACCATATGTGGCAGAACCGCCATAGCATTGCCATACTGTTATTGGACTTAAGAATTTTTCTAGATCCTGAGCCGAATTTGATTTCAAGTTTATTTTTAGGCTATTAGAAATATTAGCTAGCAATGTTATTTTTTCACAGCAGATATTTTATTGTCATCTATAAAATTTGTAATTCAAACTTTATTTAAGCATCACACACATGTTTTATAGTATTTTGTTCCATAAAAAATAGTTTAAAACCTTACTTGATAATTGTCTGAATTATGGAATAACTTCTCGTTTAGCATTTTAATTGATCATTTTAGGTTGCAATACTTCATCTATTCATTTCATCATATGCATTGTCACGTAAATATGATACTCATGATATAGTTTAGTAAGGAGGGGTTACACATGGAACACAGGCACACCATTTTTTTTATAGGACCATTCACCAGCTATAGCACAGGGACTCGAGCAATAATGAAACCGGCCGAACGCCCCCGAATGGATGGATGGGATGCCGCCTGCGCTGGGAGTAGATAGAAGAAAGTCGCCGTCCGTTCTGCGCCGGGCGTCGTTCCAGGGCAGCCGCTGCTGACCTCACCCTGGCGCACGCAACCCTCACGCCCGACGCACCGCTGCCACAAAGCCACCCCGGGCCCCTCCCCAGCGGCCCAGCGCCCCAGCCACCCGCCTGCCCGTCCGCCCCCGCGCTTTTCTTTTTACCGCTGATGAGACGCTGAGGCAGTGAGGCCCCTCCTCCCTCTCACCGTTCCCACTGCTTCAAGATCCGATCCATCGTCCTGTCCGTCCCATCCAATCGCCCCCTCCCCCTCGTGATCCCGACGCCGACGCCGACAACGAAACAGCTCAGTTTCGTGCTTTTCTCCAGTACCCCGCAGCCCCCACACCACACCTCCGAATCACAAGGGTGGCACCGTGGCAGTACAAGTAGAAACGTCGAGTGAAACCGGGAAGGGGTCGAGGGAAGAAGCACGCCAGCAGCGAGCACGCGGGGCGCACCAGCACCACAAGCGCGCGCCGCGCCGGCACCGGCCACCTACCTGGTCGCCCAACCTATATTGCCTATAGGAGGGGAGGGGGATAGGGAGTAGCAGTAGCCAGTAGGCAGTGTAGCACTGCGGCTCCTCCTCCTACCACCGCACCTCCAACCCCCATCCTATACCAATCCGCCGCGGGTCTCTATCCAGTCCACTTGCCCCCTATCTCACCCGTCACTGCAGGGAGCTCTCGCTTCGTCTCTCCCTTCCCCCCAGGTGATGCATCCTTTATTTTGTTGCAGTGGCGATTTTACATTGTTTTCTTGTGGTCGATTGCTGATCTTTCTTGGTGGTGTTGCTGCAGGAGTGGCAGATCTGTTGGTGCGATCCCCAGCTTGGATCTTGATGATTTGGTGACTTGAGTGGCCGATTTTCTTCGAACAAACTGGTATGTGCTTACATCGGTTTTATGCATTCGTTTCGATATCTGGGTACTGCGGGCTGATTCGATTCGTTAGGGGACCCGGGGTAGAGAGAGTGATGACCGAAGGGGGTTTCTGTTAGGGGTTTAGTGCCGCGGCTTGCAATGTGTCTTCTTACCTTGTTTCTAGTGCTCTAGCTAGTAATATTTGTTGATGCAATTTGTGGTTAATCTGCAAAAGGAAAGGGGGAAAAAAGGTTTTGTTTCAACCCAGCTCCTGATACAATTTAAGAAGCATTTTGGGCCTTTGCTCCTGTTTCCAAACTGCAGTTTTACAGTGTCTCTCACAGTAAGAGTCCATGTTATACATAGGATCGTTGGTCCATTTTTTTCAAGCCAGTCAAGAACTCAAGATATGGAAAACTTCCGGGTTTTTTTTTCATCAGGGAAACAAGAACAGATGTTTCGTTGTCACATTGCATTAGGACAGAAGTACTGAACTATTGTAGGCTGCCTGGTCCCCTGGCAGTTGCATATTCTTTTCTTTATATCAGAAATAACACACGGTCTGCAGCAGTGTGTGGATATTTGCATCAATCCGTCCTTTAAAGTTTTTGGATGTCTTTTTTATCATTAGTGGGAGCCTTTCTTTTATTAATTTTTCTGTATCTTGCACGCTTATTGACATATCCTCATTAGAACATTATTGTGCCAAAAGCTGTCGGTGGGCAAGCCCCTGGTCACTGCAGACATGTAGAAACAGCATAAACCATACATACAGGATTTTCGGGAGACAGAATGATGTAATCTATGGTGCATTCTTAGTTCTTAATTAATTTAACATGATACAGTATTGAATAGTAGTTCTACTGCCTGCTACTTTACTTTTTAAGGGAAGCCTTCTACTTTCTGGCTTTTTACTAATTGCAGTGAACTTGTAGTAGCCTAGTAGGAATTTTGTATCTGATATTTTTTTTGGCCTATCTTTTGCATTTTCAGGTTTTTGGGAAGTGCGGTTTCCTGAATCTCTGTTTGAACCACAGCATACTGAACTGAATCAAGTGATAATTGTGTTTTGGCCATACACAGAGATATACCTGGAACTTCTGCTTCATATGTTCACCCATCATAAAGATGCCACCAAAAGGGCAGGTTAGCAGTGAAAGGAATGTGAAGATCATATCAGGTCGTGATGGGCAAAAGAAGGGAAATTCACAGCATGACCAAATTGTACACGTGCCAAAGGACATGGTCACAGCAGTCAATGGAAATGTAGATGGAAAATTTGAAGATAAAGTTAGAGTTGTGAAGAATGATAAGTTCCGAAGACAGCGAGAGTCTTGGGGTGGGGAAAGGGCTGCATGCATGAAGGGCTCAAAACCATGGCCTGGTCGAAAGGCAACTACTGTTGATGAACTTGTCAAACATATGTCAAATGTTCCTTCATATTTACAGCGTAAAGAAACTTCTGACCATCTTCAAGACAAGGCGCTGAATGTTGGAGTTCTTGAGTGGGGTCTTCTTGCTAACTGGTCTCAACAACAAAAGCTTGAGCTCACTAGAAGCCATGGAGCATCGCCATCCAATACTAGCAGGTCTGTACTATTCTCATCTCCATCACATTCTTCTGCAAGCCCCAGCAGCAGATCCCTTGAGAGTAATCAATCTACCCCAATGAGCGACCATCATCATTCATCCATCAGAGCCCAGCAGAGTAGGCTCGCAGATAAACACCATGGGAAGGCCAGATGTTCGCCTAGCCCAAATTCTGCGGTATTGAGCTTATTGCCAGGTCATGGCACACATCCCTGTCCAGAGAACGGTCGTAATTATGTTGACTTGGGTCTCAGCAATGTTTCTTTAGCCCCAGACTCTCTAGGTTCTTCCTCTAGAAGTTGCGGAAGACATGAAATGGTTGAATATGAAGAGACTAGATGGAAGACTGAAGATGTTGTCCATCATTGTTCTCGTAGGCTTTTTACAGACAGCGATAACATTGGGAAACGTTTCTTCACATCAAATAACAATGATTCCATGTGTAATGATCCTGAACAGAGCAGTGGCTTGAATGGTGAAAATTTTGAGTCACTAATATCTGATGCTTTGATGGACACAGCTAGAAGTGGCAGTAGGTCACCTGATTGTTTCTTGGAGGATATTGAGCCATCCCTTGAATTTCCTCGAATCCCATATTCATGTCCACTTCCCATCATAGATTCAGCAGCTAAAGAGATTGGCACCACTAGCACTGAGGCTGGAGATAATTTTGTTGGTACAGCTGCAAAAGTAAATAAGAATTCTAACCGAAACCAATCTGCCATGAATGTCACTGAGAATCCTCCCCGATATTCTGCAAAGTTTAGTGATAGGATGCCTGATCGCCATATAGGTTCTGGGATGAATCGAGTGAGCCGCAGCTCTAGCCTCAAGGAGTCACCACATGCCCGACAACCCAATGTAGTTCCTCCTGTCGATAAGACAGGAGACAGGTCATCACCCAACAGCAAAGGTAGGCGAAGCCCATTGAGGAGGATGTTAGATCCAATATTAAAGCCAAGACATTCTAGTCCAGTGCGCCCTTCATTTGTTCCGAAGTGTCATCTTCCGGTCAATACCACCAAACAGTCTCTGGACTTGGGGGGGTCAGTGCCACAGAATGTGCAGCGAAGGTCAGTTGATTTGGTAGTCAATTCGAATTATCCAATCGAACCAAATATGAATCAGCCTCCTCGTGTGCTATTAAACAGTGCAAGATACATCCAGAAAGACAAGGATTCAGCAACAACAAGGCAAGCACTTCTGCAGCTAGCATGGAAGAATGGCTTGCCTTTATTCATGCTGTCTTATGGTGATTCGGATATCCTGGCAGCCACTGTTAGAAGGAAGGGCATCTCTGAAAAGGATGATCTGGAAAGCACATATGCTGTATTCACCGTTGAAGAACCTAAGAAAAAAAGTGGAGCTTGGATCAAGGCAGGGGGCAAGAACAAGAAACATAACCTTTTATCTAGCATAGTTGGGGAAATAAAGGTTGCACGTCGAAAATCAAGATGCCACCATACAGCAGATGTTCATGTACACAGGGAATTTGTGTTGGTTGGTTCTGAATTTCTACCATCGTCTGACGAATCAGGTGATTCACATGTTAGTGGAGAGCTTGCAGCTTTTATAACTGCACTTCCTCAGCAAGAAGCAGAAACTTCGAATCAATCATCTTCACAGAATACCAGACAAAGAAATTCAGCACCAATTGGATGTGGTTGCCCCCCACTGGGAAACTTCCAGCCTAGTACGAGAAATGCTAATTCTGCTTCAGCCAATGTTATTGCAGTACTTCCTGATGGCTTCCATGGCACATCAACATCTGTGCAGCCATTGCCTTTGATTGAGAGGTGGAAGTCAGGAGGAGCTTGTGACTGTGGTGGATGGGATGAAGGTTGCATGCTGAGTGTCCTCACTGATGCGGCCCAAGAAAATGATGCCATTCAGGCTACCCAGGCAAAGGATGGCAGCCAGCGATTTGAGCTTCTAGTTCAGGTCTGCCCTAGTTTTCTTCCCTTCTTTCCCCCCCTTATTTCGCCTATGTCCAGAATTTCACCTCTGTTATTATCAAACAAATAAACTGATGCTAACTTGTATTTGTAGGGTCGATCGCGAGAAGATAGGAATGCCTTCAGTATGACTTCCTTCAAAGAGGGGCTTTATACAGTGGAATTCAGATCATCCATTGCATTACTTCAAGCTTTTGCAATGTGTATAGTGATGCTCCATGGGAGGTACCCTAGCAGGATGCAAGTTGGTTCGCAAGCAGCGCAGGAGCATGATCTCCTTGCTGGGCATGAGCTCAAGGCCATGGCATCCAGTCAAGGAAGAGCTCCGACCAGCTATGTGCCCCACCGGCCACCTCTTTCTCCTGTAGGCCGAGCCTAGCTTATCGCGATTAAATGTATGTTTTTTCTATGTCTGTGTCCTCTTTCTTCAGTTGCGTAGTGCCGGTGGGATTGATATACCATGGTCCTCAGGTCTATACGCAATATGCATATCCAAAGTGACAATCTCTGTGCAAGAGTCTTTAGAGGTAGCTACCTGTACATGTTGTGATGTGGATGTTGTATTACTGTACTATGATGTGGCTGCAAGGCCCATCTCAGTGCTTAGTTACCCTCTATATGTTCTCTTATCAGTTGCTTCTGTATATGCTGGAATGCACCTGCAATCTGTTGCAACCCTTGTTTAAAGTGTCTGTTGCATTGCATCAGCAGCAGCATTTGTGCAACCGCTGAACTTATATATTCTGGATGTCTGAAGCCTCTCATTTCTGAATGCATCCAGTAGATTAAGCCTTTCAGGACTGCAACAGTTGTGATGCGGCTTCAAAGTTGTTGTATCAGAGAGAAGAATAGCTGAAGCATATGAGCAGAAACAAAATATTACGTACTCTATTATTCTGACTGGGCAGAACTGGGATGTTCTTTCAGATTTACAGGGACTACTAGTTCATTAGAATTTACAACACAGCTACGCGGAATATCTATTTCGGATTACTCACTACTTCTGGCCTCAATTCTAGCTGAGGTAAATCCACACCTCTCGAAGCGGGGGAAAGAAATCTCAACCTGCAATATATTTACAGATCTTACGACAAGTATGATCTTATAGTAACAAGTGTCACGTACATATACGTGCTCTTCACTCAGCACTGCAAGTACGTACGTCACGAGTAGTCATGACCTCGCGATGAGCAAGTCCGAGTCGTCCATGTTCACGGCAGCCACCTGCGAGGGCCCGACGCGCACGGTCACCGCCGGTATCCTTATCGGCGGTGGTCGTGCGTCGGCGCCCTTGACGATGGCGACGTCCTGGCTCTCCTTGCCCTCCCTGAGATCGCTGGGCGGCAGGAAGCAGTCCATGGAAAGGCCCCAGATGTTGAAGTCCACCTCCTCGATGTCCCACGTCTCCTCCATGCGCGTCCTGGTGTTGCCGTCTTGGCAGTCACCGAACCTGACGAGCGAGACGGCGGTGCGGCCGGCGTGGGCGATGTTCACGCCGTCGACGGCGCGGTAGTCGCCGAGGCGGGACTCCATGGTGGTCTCCCAGAAGACGCTCCCACCGACGCCGCCGCTGGACTTGATCTGCAGCAGGTGCGAGTCCTCCAGCTGCATCAGCAGGCCCGTGCGCTGGCTGAAGTAGCCCCACACCGTGTGCCGGATGATCTCGACGCTGCTGCTGTTGCGCGCGCGCAGGCTGGACGCCTCCGCCTCCACCTTGAGCACGAAGCAGTCCTCGCCGTCGATGCTCCGCTCGCCGATGCACACTGAGTCCGCGAACAGGCTCGCCGTCAGCTGCGGATCCAGGCCCTGCATGTCAATACCATGTAAACGATCGGTCAGCGTGCCGTGTCGGTCCATTCGGATTGCATGCAGTAGTAAAAAAAATCGTGACATGTGTGCAAACGTGAATGCAATGTACACACCGAGCAGCATTAGTAAACGCGAGTGGTGTCGGGTACGCAAACAAGTTGTAGTTGACTCGCTGGTCAAATGGCCGAGCACGCGGAGGAACGAGATTATACTACATCCACTCTCTTTCTCTCACTGGGCCCGTACGTTGCTGTTTACTACCATCAGGTTGGTAAAGCGCGATTAGCGGGGAGAGTCAGGTGGACCGGCTTCTTCTGACAGGCCGCGCGCCACCAACCGATTGATGTGGCGCGCGAGGGTCTCGTCTCACCAGGCCCTGGTCCACGTGATGTGTCCGGCCGCGCCCGCGCACATGGCCGCACGTTGGGCTGCTAAGGACCAGGGCCGGCCGGCCGAGGCCGACCCCTAATCACGCTGCCCCGCGCTAAGCGCCTACGCGTGTGTATCCTCCGCGTAGCTGCTGTTGCGCTAATTACAGACCCCTCCCGCTCCCGGGCGGCGACAGGATGTTGCCACGGCCAATGATGACGAGTCTCGAGTCTAATTTGTAGTGTACCGACCGGCGCCTAAATCTCACGGTCATAGTAGCTCTAGCTCATGATGAGCGAAACCACTCGGTCTTATCCCCCGACACTGGCCTGGACCTCCTCTCGGCTGCGGATCGCAGCTCCGGCCTCGGTGATATTATTTCGGCGATCGGCGAGTGCTGAAAAGGCCTCGTGATATCTCTGGTCCGCGTGGGCGTTCGATCTGTCTGCTCTGTCCTGCCGACAGTATATGCAGCGGAGATCGACATGCCCTGACACAGGCATCTATCTACGCGATGATGAGTTTGTCCTGTCACTGGGACTGGAGTGGAGGTGTACATGCTACGTGCCGTGGCATCATGTCCGTTGCAATGTCCAGCAGCTCTAGCCTCTAGCAATGGGTTGCTCTGCTCAGTACGTCCGGTCCGGTGCAATAGCAACATCAGATTCAGATCGCCTTGTCTGACTGTGCTGTGAGTTGAACAAGCTTTACTGGTGGGGGTTTGAAATGAGTACGTTTTTAGCAATGCTACGCGACCGTACATTCGACAAGTCATAGGTTGCTATGTGTGCCTTACGGTATGCGTGCGTACGCGTATGGAAAGCACTCGAGAACACGCCGCGTGAACAGTGCAGCGCTAGCTGGAAAACGTACACGAAATCACGCGCGGGGGCGGGGCGTACGCTACGCACCTGGAGCGAACGGCGGAGCGGGCGCGGGGGACCGCGGGAGGCGTGCGACTGGTGCCACGGCGTCTGGCGCCACGCCACCTTGCCGTCGCTGCCGGCGCTGATCTTGCAGCCGGACACGACGAGCTCCAGGCACCACAGCTCCGGCTTCTTCTGCCACAGCACGAACCCGCCGATCTCGCCGCCGCAGCCCTTGCTGCCCTTCTTCCCGCCGCGGTGCCCGTTTCCTCCGGTGCCTCCACCGCCGCCGCCGTCGGCGTCGCTGCTGTTGAGCTCCGCAGCCGTCATCCGCACCTTGCCCATCGCGTACATGCTCTTGACCTTGTTCAGCGCCCACTCCCCGCCCGACGCCGCTATGTACTGCTGCACGATGTACTTGGCGGACGATGACTCCTGGAATCAGCACGAGTACATACATATATACATAGATGGATGAATTAATTAGCCGATCAGCGCTTGGCGTGGTAGAGGAACAACCAATAAACCGATGAGAAATGCCGATCGTTCGGTCGCGATCGTAATCGTACGTACAATGGGATCGGCCTTGAGCTGCTCGCAGAGGACGGAGCAGGGCGACCGCTTGGCGTGGTAGATGGGCAGCGGGATGAGCGGCGCGCCGATGACGCCTAGCATGAGCTGCAGCTCCCCGCGGCTCATGGAGCACGGCTCGCCCGCGCCGGATCGGTCGGCGGCGTGCGACCGCATCCACGCGGTACAGCCGAACCTGGACCCGCGGGAGCCGCCGCCGCGGCCGCCGCCGGAGAACATCTCCTCGGGGATGGGCACCTCCAGCACCGTGTCCAGCGCGTCATCGCGCTCGAGGTTCGGGCAGAGCTTCCTCATCAGACGGACGGGCGGAACAGCTCACTGCCTTCCTCTTCCCCGTTGGTTGTGCCGCGCGCGGTGCGGTTGCGGCCTGATGAGAGCTCTTTTCTCGCTGGTGTGGTGTGGTGTGCGGTGTGCCCTCAAGTCCTCCGGAGCGCGCGTTATGTGCCTCCCTTCCCAGTCGTCCTGGGCCTCGGTGGACTTGTACCGGTTTTGATGAGTCGGGCGGGCAGCTGGCAGGTGGGGCCTTTCTTTATTTCGCGACAGGTTTGGTCGTGGCCGCACGCTCACTGCTATACCTGTTAAAAATTGCTGCATCTTATTTTGGTCGAGATTGTGCGTGTGCACATACGACTACACGTTGCCCTTTTGCGACCCCAAAATCTTTTTTTTTGGTGGTGTGTTGTGTAGTGCTATTGTTCGCACATATCCACTCCCCTTCCGAGAGCGTGCATGGGAGTTTCTGTGGACCCTCTAGCGTGATCATGGGGGTAGTTGGCAAAATACCAAATATGCCTTCGTTTGAATATACTTCCAACTAAGAAACATCGATGCTTTTGGCTTTGCTTGGTCTAATTGTAATAGCGATGGTGCACAGCGCCAGAGCTAGAGAAAATTTAGGGGGGGTGCGCTTGCCTTGTGGGTGCGTAAACTTTTATTTTGAAGGTGCGAATGTAATGAAAATTTAGCTATAATCGTTGTTTTTCTATTTTTGTGTGGGTGCGGCTGCACCCGCTAATGATAATATAGATCCGCCCATGATGGTGCATTTTGGACTTAGTACATACTACTCCTAGATTACTGGTAGATCAGCTCAGAGTTCAGACTGTTGATGCCCAAAGTTGTTCGCGAGCAAGCCTACGTACTCTGCGTAATAACTGACAACTCAGGCAAGATTGACTGACCTGTCCTCCACGGAGCACGAGCCATATGCCGCCATGCTCTGCGTACGTACTCTGTTTGAACTCTAGACTCGACAAGAACGGAAGAATCCGAGACGTACGCACCACCCACCACAACCACCAACTCCGTTTGGCTTCACTCCCATCCCAGCTCGTTCGTTCCCCCACTGGCCACTGCGGCGTACGATCACGCGATCAAAGCCGCTGCCATCGTCACGGCCGAGTCCCTTTCCATAACCGGTACGCGGCCTACGTGACTGGTACTACTAGCTTCGAAAGATTTGGAGGGACGACGAGCACTAGACTCGATCTGCTGACGTTGCCTCGTGCACCCGAATCGCTAGCTAGGGGGGCCCGTGTTAGGTGCCGCAATGATCGGCGCTCGATCGCTAGCTATAGCTAGTCCGCCGCCGGTCCTGATGACAGGTGGACGTGACGCAGTTTTCACCGGTCCGGGTGCTCTGCTGCCCTAGTGCCCTTGGCGCCCCTCCCGGTGGTTGGTTGGGCCAGCCGGACGGCCGGACGGCCTTCTTGTCTCGCGCGGCGCCGGCGCGAGACAGCGAGGA